AATGTGAAGAAGCTGTTGATGATCAACAGTGTCAAAGGCAGCAGAAAGATCAAGGAGAATTAGGATAGAGTAATGGCCGCGAGATTTAGCAGCAATTAAATCGTTGGATACTTTGGTCACATCCGTTATGACAGAATGACCAGCGCGGAATCAAGACTGAATGGGGTCAAGCAGAAAGTTGGTTTCGAGAAAGTCAGTAAAGTCTGGTGTACACAACTCTCTCGAGGATTTTGGAGGCAAATGGCAGTAGCGAGATAGGGCGGTAGTTGGATGGTAGGGGAAGGAGAGAAATTAGCGATCTCTTCTCTTATTGTAGAGATCTTCTTAGTGAAGTGAGATGCAAAGTTTGTTGCGGACAAGGTGGTAGAAGGAGGGGTAGTGAAGGGGCGAAGAAGAGCATCAAAAGTGTGAAATAGATGTTTGGGTTGATGAGACAGTGTACTTATGAGGGTATTAAAGTAGTGTACTTTTGCAGCGGAGAGAGCCAGGCTTTAGGAGCGCAGCATACATTTATAGTGGAGGAAGTCAGATGCAAAGTGAGACTTTCTCCAGCATCGTTCAGCAGCTCTAGAACATTTTTGGAGGTGACGGGTCAGCTTGGTGTGCCAGGGTTGTAATTGGGGGCACTTGCTGCGTTTAATTGTAGGAGGTGCCATGATGTCGAGTTCAGAGGAGAGAGCGGAGTTCTAGAGTGAGGTAGCCGAGTTAGGGCAAGTTAGATTTGAGATGGGTAAAAGGAAAGTATTGAGTCTTGTGGAGAATTGGTGGAGATCAAGGCAGTTGAGGTTTCTGCGAGATTGGAGAGTTGAGGGTGGTGAAATTTGGGTACAGGATATGCTGATGTCAAATGTTATCAGATGGTGGTCAGACAAAGAAAATGGAACAGTGGAAAGATTAGAGGTGGTACAGAGATTGGTGAAGATGAAGTCAAGAGTGTTTCCTGCCGTATGAGTTGCTAAAGTAGACAACTGCGTGAGACCAATGGAGGAGGTTACAGAGAGCAGATGGGAGGCATCAGGGCAGTTGAGGTATCATAGTCTCCCCCCCACCCAACACACAGATATCAGGGTCTCCCCCCCACCCAACACAGAGATATCAGGGTCTCCCCCCCCCAACACACAGATATCAGGGTCTCCCC